CATGCGTATCTTTTCTCAATCTGATAAAATATGTAACATCCAACTGCACGGAATGTTATTACAAAAACTTGTTAGTTTATAAAAACGCGATTGCGTGAGATATTTTAATCCCATACGAACATAAGAAGAGAAGCTAAATGTACACAATCAAGATAAGAAAAAAAACATGTTTTTAGGTTTTTAATCAATTAGCACACGTGAAAGGATTACTCTATTGATCATTCTACAGATCAATATATAACACACTGTTGCACGTGACACGTTAACAATTCTTCGTGAAATCGTGTTTGGGGTCGATTGTTTGAGCAATAACTTCTCAAAAAGAAACACCGAGACTCCATTTTTCATATAACTTGCATAACTTTTTCCAACGGCAAATCTGTGACTATATTTTTTTGTAAACTTGACTGAAATTTATTTATCGTCGCTAACATCGAAATGACATTCACTGTATCGTCATATTGCGGTTAATCTATCGTTATCGATCGGCCACCCATTAATTAGTAACGAGACATGCGAAGGCGTAATACGCTACGTTTTGCCCCGCAACGCAAATGTATTTTATTGCTCATAGCCCCGCGCACGTTAAGTACGTTATTTGTATTATTTATATCGAAAGCAATACGATGCACAGGTCGTCATGAAGTACTAATTAATTCATGGAAGGTTTATCTCGCTATCCAATATCGCGGTCAATTGTGACTGGAAATCGCCAATTTGATGGCGTTACGCGTGGTAATCACGACATTAACGTCCGTGACTATTTATATTGCGATCAAAGAATTGCGTCTAATTCACTCTCTAAAACGTAAAATCAAATATTACTGTCGTACACCAAAAGACTTATTTCTCGGCTATTGTTAAGAAATTAAGTTAAAAATAAATAATTAAATTAAAAATTTACATAAATAATAATTGAAAATTTTCGGTAAACGCGATGTACATCATAGAATTGGTTAAATGTGAGAGTATATTTCAAGTATTAAATTCAATCAGCACTAAAATTGATTCATTACACATAATGAGCGTAGAATGTCGAATAACAATTGCGCGCAATTAATATTACTTCCCATCGTTTTAGTCTTTATAAAATATATATAATATCCAACAAACATATATAATATCCAACATACATAGACATCAAGATTCAATAAAACATTTTAACTAGACCAAAGCTCAAAAGCTTTCTAACTGCTCGATATAATAACATATGATATAATACTTTAATCTGTCAAAATGATAGATTAGCCAAATTACTGAATAAAGCAAAGTTAAATATAATTAAATAAAATATTTTCCGCTTCGTCCCTTTCCAACGTCATTTAACTGACACATATTTTAAAGCAATAGAGGATGTCCGAAAATGGATGATTTTGTTGATTCAAAACCGCCGAGTTTCTATCGCGATGTAATTCGACAGCACGCGATAGGCAGTGTCAGGTTATCGGTAAGAACAGAGATTATTTCGATAATTAAATTTGTACATCTTCCATCGATAAATAAGTCCTGATTTTCGGTGGCGAAAGCACCGAATTAATTCACACGCTTAATATATAATACTCGATTGCGATTGACATATATTTATCATTATTGACACATCACTACGTTTTTCTGTCTGCCATGGGCCTACTGACTACGATTTTCAATCGCAATTACACGTACGCGCGCAGCCACAATTAACCTCAATAATAGAAATGTCCAAACCATATATCATATCGGATGTATGTACGATCGATCGTTGTCGCGAAACATCGTCAAATCATTGTGAAACAAGCAACGAACGATCAATCTACTCTCACGCGAATATAACAAATGAGTCTTCTTACCGGGCAATGCATCTCCGATGCACATCGATGCGTTCTCTCGGGTTCCGTCGTCGTTCCGAATGCACGTTTCCATAGTTACGAGTGAATTGGGAAATCAGTGGATAATCACGATCCGCATTGATGAATGAGATATAATGTCCATTCGTCGTCCAATACAGCAGCTCCCGCTTACTTATTGCACACGTGATTGCACACTTTGGCTACGAGCACATGAAGCATCGCATGACGATTAACCGCCATTTGCTAAGCCTCTTAACTTACGTTAGCTCGCACGATGCCCCACGGTATTCGATATCCCAACCACGCGACGGCAACTTCACACTGGTAAACATAACGCGAACCGCCGCCACGCCGCATCGCCTCGCGGCACGAGATAGAGCGACCGCAAACCCAAGCCATATCTTCGGGGTTAATTACTGATCGCGTAGCTTAATTAATTTGAAAGTCCGCTCAACGCTCTCGATGCCCGGATCATAGTGAATAATGAAGTATGATGAATATCTAGATGAAATAGATCTTAGTGAGCAAGCCAAATTAGCGAATTAATAATGATTCCTTGGGACATTTATGATCGATATACTTATGAGAATATATATGAAGAAAATATCATACACTCACATACGCGTGCTTACACGTCCCTAAAACGACGCGAGGATGTATAAGAATGTGTCTCACGAAATGAAATGCGATTTGAAAATCTCCGAAATCGATATTCAGGCGAATCGCAATTCGTTTGGCCATGATGTAACCTATTGAAACGGTAAGTGTCGGAAAATGCTATCTCATGAAGAGGTTTGCATGTGAATTGCACACTGAGTACACTGGCGAGTGCAATTGATGTATAAAACATCGAAATCGACATTAAAGCGCACGAGTTACATATGTAGAATCTTAAGATGCTGCACGGACCGTTTCATTGGCTACGGACGATCTGAAAGTAAACTGCGAATTTCGCGAAACTTTTGCCGACTTGAAAAATATCAAAAGCGACATTAAAGTGCACGAGTTACGATTGTAGAATCCTGAAATACTGTGCGGGCCGTATCACTGGCTACGAAACATCTGAAAGATGAACTTAAGATGATTATAAATATTAAGATCGATTTGTGAATATCCCGGCTTAAAGTGGCGCGGCGGTCGCGTTTACCGTTAAGAAGTTGGCATCGCGCGATATCGAATGACGCGCGCGCTTAAGAAAAGTTAAGAAACTGAGGCAAATGGCGGTTGATCGTCGCGCGATGTTTTACGTGCTAGCAGCCAGTGTATAATTACGCGTGTAATAAGTAAGCAGGAGTGTTGTATAGAACGACAAATGGACGTTGTATCGCGTTAATCAATCGGGTAACGAGTGAAAGATGGACAATGCCGAAATGACGAGTGTAACGTTCAACTGCGAAACACTGTTCGACGGGCGAGTCATCCTCGCCGGAGCGTTGGCCGGATTTTTGCATCAATTCAGGCATGTGATCAATAATTTCTTGCTCTTCGGCTTTCTTTTCACGCGGCACGATTATGCCATTAGTATTTTATCATTACGCGTTCGTCTTCGGACAATAACGTAAAACTATCAGCATACTTAAATTCAGATATTCTGTACACGATGTAGCTTATAAATGATCGAGAATGTATCATAGATTGTTCCTTCGTTTCGACCTTCGTAACAATATTGGTCGAGAAACGAGACGATGAAAGAAGAATCGGCGCGAATGAAAACGTTACGTTGCTCGTGTAAGCGCGTTTTAACCGAACCGACCACGCTCGAATCTCCTAATGCGGCGTCGAAAGAGCATCATATGTGTGTTCGGGAGGTCGTGCCGAAGAGATGGCTGTTTGTTTCATGTCGCTACGTCGATTCATTAGAGAGTTATAACCGCTTAAAGCCGCGACGAGTCGACAAATGAATGCTGGGCACTCGCTTGCTCGCGTCGCTTCTTTCGTCCTACACTTGTCTCCCTCTGACGGAGGTGAATGACCGACGGTGGTGGGCCGCTTAGCCGGTAAGACCGTGCTGAGCTGTGTCGCAGAGGGTGGGGGAAGGCCGCGCTTACTGCACGCTGTCACGTAGGGCGTATGGTATGCCTTCGTGGAAAAGCGTCTGCGGAACGTGGCCATTGTTTCACCCTCGCGTCGCACGTCCTTGCGCGCGTGACCTACCTCACGGCGATAACGCCGGGCCGATCAAGAGCGCGGATCGTTGATATTTCCACTTCTAGACGTCGTAGCGGCTTGAAACGACAACTGCTGCAAAGCGGAAATCACCGCCCTTTCGATGGAGGTGAGATCATTCCTTCGGTAAATAAGGATCAATTGGCATAATAATTGGCATAATAAATAAGAAAGATATTGAATGTTGAGTTCGCGTTTAACCTTCTGTTAGTCGCAATGTTTCTCACCTATGAATATTCGTAATGTATCCTCCACAGATACACTGATTTTCTCATTACTTTTCCTCTGCTTCCTGAAACATTCTTTCTTTCATCAGCACTTAGCTAATAAACTAGATATTAAAGTACATAAAGAACAGTGGAAAACAAAGAGAACGAAGAAAAAAAAACATTGACGAAGATGAGTTCGATATTAAGGTCGTATAGCAACGGCGATACGGTCTGAACGTATATTTATTGGATATTGCCATTAATGGAGAATTGAGTCGGAATTAATCTATGTTAGGAACCAATAGGAAACGTTAGCTTAGATTTGTAAAGCGAAGTGTCAATTTTCTTTTAAAGAATATAAAATGTAGCTTGAAAGAGAAGGATAATTATAATAATGAGAATTTTATTCTGATTTGTTTCAGAATTAATCTGCTGACAGATTTTGATGCTTGATTTATTTCATAAAATTATATAGCGAAATCGTATATAAAAATGCAGATATATGTATACAGAGTATTTGAATTTAAATATGATACCCGCAATGTAGAGATAGAACATATCCCTATATACTATACATATATGCTATATAATCTAAGCAAGATTATAAAAAAATTAATATTAAAGATTTAATATCAAATCAATCATTATTTTTATCAGGAACAGAGTAACAAAGAGAACAGTTATATGTGTCTAAAAATATATGTGACTAACTTATATTTTAGCTATCGGTTAGAAAAGCAAATAAATTAATAACAAAGGAACAGACACATATTTGTCAAATCATGTATTCATGTTAGAATTAAGCACCTAGGAGTCGTTTAACAAAGTATCCGGGAAAAGCATATATCCCGCACGCTACTAGCATTACAAGTAAGACGCATAGGCAGCAGCATACTATTCTCCATTTATAATAGCGACAAACAACGAAGCAGAATGCTCTCCACGGGTTGTGAAACCAAGAAAAGGAAGTATCAGGTCGCCTGTAAACATATGCATAATAATAATTAATAATTGGGAGTACACACCGTTATATAAAGAGCAACATTTGCTTGATATTTAAATAATTATCGCGTTCTTTCATGTGCGATGAAGCAATGACTGCTGAGTTAGTTTGATTAAAAAACCGAGTACTTATAAAAACAACAACAATTGCGTCTAACTGAAAGTAATGATCTTTTATTTCATTGCGAATCACGATATAGAAATAAGCTAGCGAAGAAAAAAATTCTAGAAATAAGTAAAGGATATATATTATTAAGTTATATCATCAAGTTTGTGGTTTTATGGTTAAATTAAGAAATTAGAAAATAGATGACCTTGGAGGTGGAAGACTTTGAGGTGGATCTCTTCCCATGCCTGCCGGTTGGTCATCTGCATCTTCTGCTTGTAAAATAGATATTTCCAGCTCGATTTTACCCTGCAATAAGCAAACAAATTATTAAACAAATCGACATTTTTATTTGCGAATCTTCGAATATTTTTCCAGTTTTATTTATGCTTCCTTCCTTTTGAAGCATAATTTATCACTAAAATTTGGTTCGGTTACGGATATTACAAGTTGATATGCATATAGATTATTGTAATGTCTCAGAAATGTTTTTTCGAATAGTTTACCGTTTGAATATATCTTCCAGCATTCACACTGTGCTTGAAGGGCCACCAAGCTCTAGTCCGTGTAACTTTGAACAGATTCACTGTGGGTAATTGCGGTTCGAGTAATTTCAGTGTACATTTTTTAGGAACCGAACTTCCCCGCGGCATTCTTGACAAATTCAGTGTCAATTCTCCTGCAATACGTTGATTACTATTTAAAAGAATGTATAGCAAACACATGCGAATCTCGTGTTAATTGGTTATAAACTTGGTAATATACATTTCAGAAGTTAGGTTTATTTCCAGAATTTGCAATTTCTTGCTTGCAGCCGGAATTTGCACGTGTCTTCAAGTTATATTAAGAAATGTAAACATTAATCTTGAAAATTTAAATACTTTAGGCAATGTTTCTTAATGATCGGTATCTCTTTGAAGTGTTTTCTTAGTGATACAGACCGATAGCATATTTTGATTACCTAGAAAATCGTCCGAGGAAAAGTGATCGCTATCCCAGACTTGTAGATAAAGTTTGCAAGGTAGCTTCTCCTCCGTCTCATTTTTGGCAAACACCGACATTTTTCTGCGGACTATCATGACGTTCTCGCCCTTCGAGTACGTGACGCGAAACACGAATCTCCAATTGAAGTTACCCTCGCCGTTCAGCGAGTTATAGTGGATGTCGGTCTTCTGATAGTCCTCATATAGGATCCACCTGCGCAATTATTTGGAACGAATCGCAAACCGCTTTTCTAATCCGATTGTGGATATTTGATTATCGGGAGAATCAATCGACCGATTCTTCGATGAAATCCGGTAGTTTATTGTACCGGAATTAAGAACGGTTATTCCGAAAAACTTATTGATACTCAATTTAATTTCGGAACATTTTGGGGTTAGATGATTTAAATAACCAATCTCTCAATATCGGATTGCAATGCCAAGAGGGAGAAATAAACGAATCTGTCCGTCAATCATACGGAAAGAATTAATGTTGATACAACTTGTTGTGGCGTTTCAGCCGTTCATCCGTACAAATATGTTTCACCACGAGATGCTCTCGAGTTGCCGTATAATTGCGTAAAAAAACTCGCTTATCGTTCTTCCATATTCACGATGACGTACCCTTTGACGTAAATGTCGGAACACTTTTCACCAGTAAGAAATTGACTCTCGACCAACGGCACGTCCTCGGTGTTCCAGATAATCACGCGAATCTCATATTCCTCCGGTGCCTGAAGAGCGATATCGACTGCCGGTTTCGGCGGCAATTGTCCGATACGGAACATGTCGATCCACATCTCCAGCTTGCCCTGCGATGTCATTTGTACGTTGGCTACGTTAATGCCGTTACCGTGCGGTCGCGCTCGCACGAGGAATTTCGTGATACGTAATTTAACGGTTCTTTCCACAAAGTGAAACGAATCACTCCGGTGTGCCGTATAAACGAGTAAACGAGAAAACGTAAACGAAGGAAAATTTTTTTTGATTACGGAGTAATTGAGCGTAAACACACTGACACGGTATAACGCTAAATCTAACGTTAATCAAGATTCAGAGGTATTTAGAGCAACGATATCGTTGAAGGGACGTTTCTGTTTTATTATCGTTAGTAGGATATTTGATAACGCGAACGTCTCGGATGAGGAAATATTTAAGAGCACGAGTGCGTAGGTTCCAGCCTTCTGATTTATTCAAGTCCAGAATCGGGGAAGCATGGGTTGTTTCGTGAAGTAATGTAATTAGGATGTATGGCTTTCCTTCCGCGGAAAAAAACAACGTTCGTATGACGATCACGTTTCCCGAGGAGCGGAGTTACTTTTCATAGCATAAGGTCGCGCATGTTGTGTTACCTGCTCGAGGCCAGGCCTCTTAGCGTTGAAAAGCGGTCGCCTCTCAACGTGCTCCGGCACCAGAGCGCATCCACAGATGGGGAAATCTTGCCAGCGATGAAGCACGTTCAGAGCCATGTATTCTTTTCTGTCTGTCGGCGCGCATCGATCATTCGGAATAAATACGTTTACGTGTTACTTCACCGTGTACGTGATATAGAGCCACGAAAAGTTCATTTATCGCCGGTAACGGCGCTCAAATGAAGGGCTTTTCGTTTCGAATGCGTTTCTCTATACGCGGAAAATCGGTTTACTTTAAATTCTTTAAACTATTCTCGCGAAGACTTTTAAGATAGCGGGGTAAGAAACACTATCGGCATTTGAAAGTATAAAAATTTCGTGACTTTTCGGACAAATTCATCATACCGACGTCTTTTTCGCGTTCGATCACGGCCTGGAAGGGGAAAGTTTGTTTGCCAATCTTAACTTCATGTTCGTAGTATTCCGGCAACGGCAGATTGTTTGTTCTACAGAGGAACTCCAGGATCTGTGTCGGTCTTTCGCGATCTCGCCAGGAGTTATAACCCGTGGTGCTGTAAACGTTCGCGATTCCACAGTGCGCTCGGTGTCGACTGTAAAATCGATTCTCGATGTCAATTCGCGTCTCGCCCACCAAATCGTCGGCCGTTGTCGCGTCGTAGTCCCACACTTGAATCAGCAACATGTAATCTCGCGGGAAACTCGCCTCGATCTCGAACATACTACCAGACAGTAGAGAGATTGTTTGGGGATACTCACGATTGTTTATCTTCTCTTCAGTTACAACATTTTTGTGATCCTTAACTCGATAGTTTTGAAGGGAAAATTTACTTTGAATTAGTCTCATGAAACTTATAGTTTCAAACATATCGGACAATCTTAGAATAATTTTCCATATTTGATTATTTTCGATTATACTTGAATATTAAACCTATAGCATTCATTATTGGAGTTAAGGGATCATCTATTATTCTTTGTATCTTTTGAAGAAGGAAAATAACTTATTTAATAAAGTAATATTCTTTTCGATAAAACAATACTTTTATGTTTATCGTTGTTATCGTCTGTAGACTAGCTAAAAAGTTCGATCGTGTAGCTTTGAAAGCTGCAAAAAGTCGATACGCATGGATGCACAGATTGATATCGATAAAACATATTTTCCGATAACGTCCAGAGGGCGAGGCTACGCTTCGAGGCGCCTTGGAAAAGAGCGGTGGCAGCTTTTTGTAGACCTTACCGGCCGAACGTGGGGTTCAATTGATTGGCTATATAATTCTTCCTGTCGCTTATAGAATTTTTTCCCAACTTCACGAAGAGGTACGGGTCAGATTTACCGGTGAAGGGATCCTTAGGTTGTAAGTTGATGCCTGTGCGGGAAGCAAATTTACTGTCGGCCTCAATATCGAAGACGTGCTCTGTTTATCGAGATGTGCAGGATATAGAGTAAAAGTGAATAAAATAGACGTGAACGATATATTCATTGCTTAGAAATGCGAAATAATCAGTATTTCATAAAAAAGATGACATAGTGCTTTATAAGAATCATATGCTCGGCTTCGTCAACAATTTCAATATTCGATAAATTCGAGATTCGTTTTTAGCCAGTAAAATCATTTTTGAGTTGTTTTTTATACCGCGCCTTTGTAGTTTTTAGTCTTTTTTTTTTTAGTTTTTAGAGCCTCTATTCTTCTCTAAAGCAATAAAATTGTTAACAAAGTGCAAGTCACAAAGGATATTTTCAAAGGATATTTTCGAGAGTTAATTTTGAGAGCAAATTTATTCCTTTAACACATGATCCTCGAACTTTTTTGCATATGACTAACCCTTTACAACGTAGAGTCTAACGAGAAGCTTAACGGACTCTTGAGGTGGATAATCGTTGCACAGGCCATTAGCCGCGTCTCTCCCGCTTCTCGTTTTGCATGGGAGGTTGTCAGGGTGCGGCCATCGGTATACAGAAATGTGCCCCTGCAGATAATCAAAATATTGATGTAAACTACGAATCATGTACCGTTTTTGTTTAATCGAGACTTCTAGTAAATTTACATAATTTTACGCTCTATATTCGTGATTGCATTCGAAACATTTAACTGATTTATATTAAGAAAATATAGATAAAATATTTTTGAAGTTAAAACAATGTTTCCATATAATGAAATGAAAATAACTAAAAAACATGAGTTTGTTTTGAAAATATAATTTTCTTATGTTAATTAACCTTAAATTTGCCAGCGTAATTATCTTCGGCTTGATCGGGATTTTCATACTTCCTTCCCCGCCATAGTTCGAAAGTGTTGAGACGATCTTGAAATCCTTCGAATTGCGGCTGCATCTCTAGTTCCGTGGAATAGATCTGATTTCAATGTCTAAACTCTCAAGTTCGTCCAAGTGCATTAAAGTGTACCTTGAACGTCGCTACGGGTTTATGACGAAACGTTATCGTGATTCCCAACTCTCTATTTCTCTCTTCCTACGGATCGAACACGCACTAATTTGCATATATCGGGTGTTTCCACTGATTGACTTTAACCGAAATTCTTGTTCTACGTGGATATCATCAGAATCGGTTCATTTAACAGCAGCGTGACTCAAGTCATTATTGGAAAATAAAGCTGATTCGAGTAAAATTCTAAAGAAATTGAATATTCGCATGTTTAAAGACGATTGAAAATTCAAATTAAACAATAAAAAAGAAAATTTAGAGCAGCTGTTTACTTGATCCGATTCTATGATTGCGTTCTTTGTACCTGAAGGGAAGCAAAATATTTATTCCACCAATCGAGAGTCTCGTCGTCATCATCCTCCTGTATTTCCACTTTTTTTTTCTTGGTAAGAAAATCGAACCTTAATATCCGCTTTATAATTACACGTAGTCTCTTCAGCTTGGAATAAATGTCAGTTCCAGCCATTCTTTTATATGCAATTAGACCTTTTCTCTCCTCTTTCGAAGGGCTATAATCTACCGGTAAAGGCACTGCTGACGAAGATAAAACAGAAGTGATATAATGCGATAAAATAGAACTCATCTTCTTCGGTGGTTCAATTTTAAATTGAGAATTTCTAGACATCGTTTAAACGGTGGTATAAAATGCGCTTACACATTGTCGTCGCCTGTCGCTTCGCCGGCTGAAATTTCGGTAGAAATTTCGACTCGTATATCTGCTCGTTATACTCCGCCTCTGTTATTAATTGCTGCAGGAACACGCGAATACTGGGGATAGTGCAGATCCCTGCATACTTGAAGCAGCCGAATCCGCGGGATTCGTAAGCCTTTATGGTGATGCTCGGATAGTAAATGTCGAGCTCGGGCATTTCCTTGGTGAATAATGCGTTCTAAAGTACTTCTGTTTTCTCGCCATTAGCGGTATCGCGCGCGGGTTTCTTTCTTACGGAACGTTAATTTCTAGTCTACGATCGCCGGCTAAAATTACCAGCTCAATCATAATGTATGGCTCTTGAAAGTTGCTGAATTTCGCGGCGTCTTCAATTACTGTCGACTTGATGTGCACTCCGGCACACTCCACTATAATTCTCGGCCTCAGTACCGGCGTATAGTTTATCTTCCTCATGTCGCGTACACCCCAAAAGACCACCTCCAGCCTGTGGTTCGCCATTTTCGGCCTGATGTCCGGCGGGATGCTGTAAATCTTATCCACCGTTGACATGTTCATCGGAATATCCGCATTCTCTTCGCTTTCCGTCTGCATATATTTTATCGGACATTGTGAATTGAGTTATGATGGAATCCTTTTTTCTTCTTTAAATCAGAAGGAAGATTTAATCCGGTGTGTTGCTTATACGAAGAAGTTAGAGGTGATGATGTCGAGGTAATACACATAATGTATATAGTGTACGTATTATTTATGAGAAAAGAATAAAGCTTACATTTTTCTCGATATATTGCTTGTGAGAGAAAAGATGGATAACTCACTTCTATCAGCTCGAAAGCGGCGAGTACGGAACCGGTGCAATATCTTTGCGACTGAAATTTGTACCATTGCAATTTCGGTGGGAAATCAGGCGGCGAGTAAGTTTCCGTTGCGAGCTTCACTAATGGCATCGCGATGCACCTGCCGCAAAATTCTTTCACGCCCTGTATTATTTTTCTCGGATGAAACATATATAAAACACAATTCTCTCTGGTTCAGTAATAGCAAAATATAGTTAGAATTATCGTTAATATTATTTTCTTTCTATTTATTTTAGTAACGAGAATTACTTTGCTTATTACTACTTCTTACTTATTACTTCTCAAAATACTCATTTTATATTTTTACTGTGTACACATTTATTCTTGATATTGCTGAAAAATTTGCTATGTTCATTGTTTTGCTTACCCATAAATCCTGATCGTAAACCTTTAAGACAACTTTGGGTGGTAGTGATTTAATGTACTCCTTAGTGCCGTGTATGGTAACCGGAGGAAAAATCAAGGTCTGGTCCCAAAATGGATGGAGACTTTGTTTTATTATCTGTGCGCAAACAATTATACGCTCAATATTTATTTTGAGATAATGTTTTAGTAGCAATACATATCTCTCCTACAAATACTTTATTTTTTGTAGAATTTATGATTCCAATTTGTTAATTGAATCTACCAAACATACTTTTATATTTTAAATTTTATATAAATACTGTCTCTCTGTAATCAATAAAATTATTGATATGATACAAATAAATATTACACATGAGAGAGATTGAAATCATTTTAAAATATTTTACTGTTATAAAATTTTTCAATTTGTTAATTTATTTTCACTATTGTGATAAGGTAAAATAAATATACTTTTTCGGACTGCCATGAAAGCGAATGCTTTCATTTAAACGCAATGTTTGACGCGTAACATTAATCATACTCGCGTTGCATCAGCAGCGGTATCTTTGTGCGAATTCGTGGAAGTAAAATGTCATAGAGAAGCATACGCCGTGGAAATTTTACGGTCGTGATAACCGTTATTATCGCGTGCATACACATAGCATGACCAACACGCGAAAAAGGATTATCGCAATAACATCTGCGAGATGGCAGACAAGTTATATTCCACTTGAAATTTTGTAATCTAAGTATTCAGGAACGAGGAGAGAGTAAACTTCGCACGTCACGCGCAATCATGTTCCATTAAAATCTCACATAACTCACTTGTGTGGTAGCTGTGTATCCACGAAATACAACGCGAATAAACGAATTCAGCAGGCCGAAAGTGTCCGCTTCGGGGTTGAAGCGGCCTTGGAATATGTGCGCTCGCAATTGGAATATCTAGAATAATCACCGTATCGCATTATCACGATTTCATTTTCACGCACGATATCGAACTTCTAATTTCGCACTCTTATCTACATCGAGCTATTATTTTTCTTTCTTTTTTTCTCTCTTTCTCTCCCTCTCTCTCTTCCTTTTTCATTCCTCCTTTCCTTTTACGTTTTACCAAGTCATGTTTTGCTCGTGACGCCGTAATGCTTTCTCGAAGATCGTTTTCTCACCGAGGACTGATTGTACTCGAGGTACTTCGGGAAGGTATCGACATTTGCGCCGTGATCGACCTCGTATCCCGGTGGAATCGCGCTCCAGCAGGCGGTGACGTATTTCGCGTTGCCGAGCCAGAGGAAGGTTTCGATTTTGCAGGCGCTATATTCGATAGCTTCGGTTTCGTCGTCTGGATTCCTGGGGAAGAGGTTGATTAGCCGGCCACGCTTATCGTCCATCTCGACGGTTTCTTCGGAGTAGATGATCCGCTGCACGGGTAATCGCGAGTAAGCGACTCGCTTCGAGCCAGCGATCATCCAGACGAAGACGTCTGGGAGACTGTGCTGAGGCTAATTGAACGCGAAGACGGGATTAAGTGGGTTATCACTTAGAATCAGTAGATTCGCGGCAAATTCGAGGAAACGTTTAACCATTCGTCATCTATTCCGATATTCGGCATTCGCTTCGCGTTATATCAAAATGCATCTCTTAATCTTCGTTTCTCTCGGATTGTCGGCTCACCTCTTCACACAGGTCCATCACTTTCCTTAAATATTGATACGCATGGACCATTGCGATTCTCATGTAATTGTTATTAGGGAGTTCACCGTTGATCTTGATCCTCTTGAGGATGTCCTCGATGTTTCTGCGACAGAGATTCGATCGATGTCGATCAAGTTTAGTGGTTGTACGTTCTTCGTACTTGTCGCTATTAAGTATTTGCAAGTAGCGCACGCAGTGAGCTTTCAGCGCGTGAATCGTTTCGTTGTAGATCGCGAAGGCTTCAAGATCCCCTGCGGCTATAAGAGCTTCTAGTTTTTCCAGTCTCGTCTCCTACGATCGAATAAGAACAGTTTTTGCGATAAAATTCGTAGAATTTCTCGATATTTTTATATTTTTATCGCAGCAAGTTTGACTTAAAATCAAGCCAGGTTTATTGTCTTATATTAATCAACTTTCCATTTTCCATGTTTATTGCCTTATATTAATCAACTTTCCATTTTCTCGAATGTCCAATGAGATAATATATTATATCTTTACCAATCTAATCTTTTTCAAAACAAAGCCCATTCGTCACTAATAACAAAATAATAAATTAACATATCTTTTATAACTGTTAAATCATAAACGATAATTGTGACCAACCAGAAAATCGACGATAAGCTGAAGATTATTACTGTTGTACATTCGATATTCCAAATTTGGCCACCATGATTTCACGTACAAACAAGGCTTCCTGGACCCTAATGGCAGGTAATTATATTCGCCGTCCAGAGTGCCTGTAGCTCGCGGAATTGATTGATTTACGAAGTTCGGCCGCTTTTTCCACAATTCGTTTTCTGTCGAAAACGAAAATAGAGAAAAACGGATATTAGAGAATTTTTGCGATATTGTCTTTCAGATACAGTAAACACTAAAGTGCGTTCCGATATTTACTGTCAGTACTGCGAATCTATATGTTTATGTTACATATTTATATTTGAAATACCAACAGTGAATACCGGGAAGGCATTTTAGCGTTCACCGTACCTGAAAAATTTCATTGCAAAAACTCTCTATTGTCATCGCGCATTTAATACTAAATACGGTCTCCGTCTCGTATTGATGACTCGAAAGCATATTTTTCACACCAACCAAATACAGAATAGCTGTTAACAACAGTGACAAATTTTCAGAGATGTTAGACGCAGAGAATATTGCCGTCGTCTCTGATATCACGAAGTGTCTGTTTTGTCGAAAAGAAGCGTTGCGGGACATGAATTTCCTCTTTCATAATACTCGTTCCTTCACCACATCTGGGAATTTGTCTTGTTATTGAGAACCATTCCACAGAGATTACAATTGATAAGATCAATAACGTTACGAGTTTCCAGAATTAAAGTAACAAAAGAAGATAAAAGAAAGAGGGATATTTGGAACGGAGTGTTTGAGAACTTTCTTGCTTCCTTTTCCATCTATTCACATAGTGACCACATTTAGCATTAAAATAGCTTTTATACAGAAGCGACGATATAACCGACACAAATAAAAGTTCATGGGGTACCTGATTGGTCGTCGTTATTGTTCTCGGCGCACTGACTACGCGGGAATTGCCGATTGCCCGCGTTTCCCAAGCTCAATTCGAAGCTGATCGATTTTGACCCGAATCGGGAACGGTCGATCAAACATACGTCATACAAAACGCCGACCAAGAAATATTCCTCGGTTGACCAGAAATTTTTCTAGATTCCACCATTTTTCATAATGAGTCAAGTTTATCGCGGACTTGCAATATCGTTAGGTTTTATTACTGAATATTTGTTTTACTTAAGATATTACGAAATAATCACGGCAACGAAATTTATTTCATTCTAGCGGAAGTCGAGATTTTTTATATATGAATGAGATAGTAATCGCGAAAATGGTGCATCTTAAGAAATCGAATCACTTCGATAATGGGAAATGCTAGGACTGTCTCGACTCCGATTCCAGGGGATGCGTTCGGGTCATCCATTTCAGTTTTCAGCGACACAAGCACCCTTCCACGATACAAAGGCAAAGCCGTCAAGCATTTGCCAGAGCAGCCGTTCTTTTCCACCGACCCGGATCCGTAAAAGTGGATGAAAGACGGCCCGTAAGTTGGGAGAAATCCTGTTGAAAGGCTAAATGTTTCCTGCTACCTTTTTCAATTTCCCACGTCGCGTCGCGCTCTCACGTTATTACTTGAACTTCAATATAGACATTCAAATTTAACCTAAGTTAAACTCAGAAAGCTTACTCTAAACTCTCTTATGCGAATTTATATATTTTTATATAAAAGTTTGTCGAGATAAAATAAAGCCGACCTAAATTTATCGTACAAAGAATGATCCAAAATCTCATATTAAGATCGCAATGAGAAATTAAAAATCGGTGTAAAATATTTACCGTTATTTCTGATGTTTATTTGATCTATAGAAGCAGTTTTGTATTTGGTGAAAAATAAAGTCACCCGGGATACTTTGTATCCTTGGTAGAGAATAACTTGACAATCTTACCGTACTCCTCGGAATTTGAAATCTTCGCCATGTCCAAAGTATGAACTGCCACGACGCAAGTTCGAAAACTGTCGATACGGTGTTTTATAGCGATTCTCACACGATGGCAAAGCGCGGGAAACATTTCCTTGAAAATAATACCCTCGTGGAATTTCGGGGAGTAGGTTTGCCACTTTTCACTTGTCGAACCCTAGAACAGTTACATTCTATAAATTATCTCATTCCACTGTACAGGATACCTTAAAACTCTCCAATATCTCTCATGAGAACGCATATAAATCTGTGTATTGTTATAGTGAACCATAGACACACGACCTTCGACAATGTTCTATTATTTCCAATTTTCGTAAATTGATGAGCGCCAATGTAACAAGAATCTACGATACTCGTGTTACGATTAACATGTCAGAAGGATCGTAAATTTTAGCATCCTTAATCCTCAATCCCTAATTTTAATATAAATAAAGCATGACGGCCTACACTGATTAATTATCTTATCGCTGTGATTAATTAGATAAATTATTTCTGATTGCAGATCTGGTATGTCGCACAGCGATATTTTAAGTTCCAGAGGCGTAGTTTCGGTGAATGCAAAGGAATATTGATAATATTGGTGAGTGACAAATAGATAAATTTAAGGTGGTAAGTTCATAGATGGAAGTTCAGAGCGGATTTTTTAAAAAATTCCCTTGAAATTAATGCGATTTATTTCGCTTATAAATGTTTGTATGTCGATTGCTTTGCACAGATATCATGAAAGATTAATCGACTTCGTAATCGTTCGGTTCGCAATTCTTTTCATCCGATTCGCGAGGTGCGAGTGCGTTTCCGAAGTATCGAAATTTATTACACCGTAAATATATTTCCAAAGTGTCGGAATTGGTTGTACCGCGGATGGATATATATTAAATAAATTTCGTATATTCAGATTTTGCTTCGCGATAAATCAAAACTTTCCGTCGATATATTCGTAAAATGCCATCAAGACGTGAATATTAATCGCGTCGTGAGTGGCACAATGAAGTGGACGGTGTAATCGTGGAACCATTATTCAAAGTGATGGAACCACGAACTTCCGAATGCCGAACGACGCGGTTAAGGATGCAGCTGCGAATTTCGTTTATAGATCGGCTGGACATTCCGACGCTGACTGATGAGTGATCATCGAATGATGTAGTGCATGCGTAGTTATAAATCGCATTGATTTCCGAGATATGAATCATTCCGAGGTTTGAATCATTTGATATCTACATTGATAACATATTTTTAACGGCATAATATATTTTTTAATTAAAAAATTTTGAAACAAATATGTAAATATCGCAACGAGTTTTTAAGTTATAAACCATAAGTTGACCAGCGTGTGATGTAGTACGGATTAAATCATTAAATTCAATACGAAATTAAAGCATGCAAATCGCTACGAACTTTCATCTCTGCACAGAATCAGGAAGTTAAAGAATTTACTGTAACATACTTTCATCCCGGCAAACGATATTTGCACGTAGGGATTAATGTTTTCGAAATCGCTTTTACTGCATAAGCTGCTCATGTCCGGTAATCCGTCAGCGCGGTAAACGACAAAAATGTATCGTGCGCGTTGCCTGAAAGGCAAGCTCTCACCTCCGAGAGGTAATAACAGGTTCCTATGTTCATACATTATGCTTGTTATGCGCATAGAGGGTTCTTTTGGTCACTAATCAGTGTAAGTGGTGAAATTTCGGACAAGCCGGTTGATGCAAATTATAAATTATAAATAAACACATTAATATATAAATAATATCGAAATGTTTGATTTACATTGCGGAGCAATTACCCTTCGATGTCATCTTCACCTTCTGTTTCGGGATGCACTTTAACTTTCTCACCCCTCACGTTCACCGTAATATTGCACTTCACATAACCTTTTGGACCCATTGTTGGATCTTTTGGGTCTGTCAGTACAGCCCACTTGTGATAATATTGTCGGTCTATAAATGATAATAACGTTTGTAAAACATTATCACCTTTGTCATCTAGAAAAATTGAAGAGGTCGTCCTTCAATTAAAAAATGACACTTCTGGAATGGTCTAAGATTTTTTGTATAATATCTTTCTCCCAGTTTTATGTATAATCTGTTAAGAGATTTGTGACATCATCATTTTTAATTTTATTATGTAGGTTGTTTATAACTTACGGGAAATAAAACTATCGTCTCTCAGTTCATAAATTACGTGTCTCGTAAAACTTATCGATTTCTTTATTAGTTTCTTAAATCTTTTCTTTCTAACCTGGTTGTTCCCATACCGTTGCGACTTCAAAGAAAATGCTTCCGTGGAACTTTCGTTGTCGAAGAAAGTTCCGCAGGTACACTGCTATCGTGATTTTCGTGCCTAGCAAAGCGTCCAGACTGCATGTGAAATCGAATACGAAGTACTGTATATTATACAAAGAATTATATATAAATATGTATACGAAAAATTTACAAATAAAACGTATTTATTAAATTATCTCAATATTTAAAAAAGTGAACGTTTAAATTTTAAAGAAATTCAAAGTATAGAAATTGTTAGTATATGTAATCTTGCTGCCAATTTTTTGAATAAAAAAAAATATGTATTCCAATTTTTTTCTAAAATATTAAAGAAATGTAAGAATTGTTTAAATTTTTAATAATTTTCAGTTTTGTTATGATTAAGATTATAGAATCAGCATAACAATAAAAAAGCTCCAAGTTTTAGACTTGTAAGAAACTGTCTGCAAATATTCAAGCATGTTTAATGTTAAAAATGTAATTAATTCATCCTCCACTGATTATACATCGATCGTAAGGAATCTTCGTATTTAAAAAGTCAAGTTGAAATATTTGAAAAGAATTCGAAGATTTCCAAGATTATTGTCCTCTTACAAGGACACGTAAGACGATTTGCGAGTTCTACTCGTTATAACTTTCCGATTGCATTACTTTCGCATCGATCGAGACATAGTCCCGACAGACCGACCAACTTCACCTCGTTGTAGATAGGATTATCGGTCCTTTCGCGCACCATTGTCCTTCTCTTGCGATTCCCGACTTTGACGACGACCAGTGGGTTTGCGTTTTGCGGCAAGTGTTTCGCCTCGAGTATAGTTACGCAAACTTGGTAAACGGAGAACTTCGGCCTAAATTTCTTGAAAGGCATTGCGGCCGCAAAATCGATCGCTGATATTGGCCACACGCCAGGTGTTATTCGCATTTGTTTAACTTGCCGTTTGTTTGTTTCGCGACATACTCGAAACTACAAATGCGACGGCTCGGAATTTATGCGCCGCGGATACACGGGCGGCGAACACACGCGTATATACGGTGGTACTTCCAGGGGGCTCGATAAAATTGTTTCACCGTGATCAAGTTTTTCGTATCTTCATCACACTCTACGCAGGGTATTTTTATATTTCCTTTAAAGCATTTTTTATGGCACATGTGAGTATTTTTTCCGCACTTTATTATAAAGTATTCTTAGATACGTCGATGTAAAAAGTTGTTGTTACATCCGTGTTAGAATAATAATAGTAACTACACTCTATCTGTGAGATTTCTATTTTCGTACGTATTATTTGTAATTACATTTGATAATTTTATAAATCCATAGTTTTCTCGCGAAGTTTTCGGAAACAAGATAACTTATCAACAAACTTACTTTTACTCGCAATCGATTATATCATTATCGTGTTTTTCTTATACGTTTATTTTATATGAAAATATCATCCTACGATATACTGAGAAGTTATAATCACTAGATAAAAGATATCCGTTTTTCCTTCCTTACCTACCGCTGATTTCTTACCCAGCTGGTAGTTCCATCACGTAGTTCGATTTCTCTACCAAAGATATTTCAAATCACTTACCGCTGATTCAAAAACATAGAAAAATATAACATTTTTAACAAGAAAATTTGAAATTTATAATTTGAAAAATTCCGATGAATAAATTTATTTGTGAAAACGAAGTGCAGTAAACTTTAATTATAAAATTATTTTCGATGAACATTCTTTATATACAGGAAGCAATATTTTTCGCATAATGCTAGTCACCAATTTTATTTTCACATATCAGAAATATTTATGAATTTAATAATTTTTAAATTTTATGTGATAAACTCTATAGTTGCATATAAATTTATTACCTTCTCATCTTTCTTTCACATAAAAGCGGCGTAATCTGAAAAATCATTTCTACCTACGACAAATTACTGACTGTGACGTTGGATTTATTGAAACATCTTTTTGAGTAGGAGTTGAACTACGTGACATGTGCTATCTTATAACGATTTTTCTATAATTGGAAACTGCGCATATTCGAATAATAGCTTCCACCCCGACTTCGTGTCATTTCCATCGAAGGCCATCCTGTCAGACACAAGTGTGTGCTTCACACGTCAATTTTGTGTCAGTGCGTGTAAATACAAGCTTTACCTGACGAAGTACATACCTATTCCGCCGCTGACAGTAATCACAATACAGTCGTGATCCTAAAATATATTGACGTGTTTAACTAAATCGCACATATTATCATCGCATATTCTTTTTTAACTAGAATAAGTTTTTAATTATCCATTATGGTGAAATTAATAACTTTTTAATTCTTTGATTTCATCTGTGAAATTTATTCTTTAATTCCCTTTAACGGTATAATTCTTTAATTTGACTTTGACAAATTATATCAAGCTTCTTTTTATCAGTCACTCATAAAATAGGCGTGTTATTTCATTGCTGATTTTTTTCCATAATTGCAATTGGCGTCGATTTTGATGTACTAAATTCATCATTTACTTCGGCAATTACCGCGAACCACAGAAAAATTATATATTTCGATGGTTTGAATGTTAAAGGGGAAATAAATTAAATACTATAATATAACGTACAGTATTCTTAAGGGTAATTAAATATACTATAAAATAACGTATAGTATTCTTGAGGGTAACTAATATTTATCATTTTTATCGGTTTAAGGGAAAAATTTATATTGTTTTGAATAGTTGAACTTGAGCTTTGATATAAGATACGTTGATGTCCATTTATATGACTAACCAAAAAACTTAATTTTTGTTTCAGGTCTGGCGGTGATTGTGGCTACACGGTGGATGCTCTGGATGAGGATGCTGTACCGGAGGATCCGGTTCAGGCCAAGCAGAGTCGGCTCGAAGGTAAGCATATAGATTCCTGTATTCTTTTGATTAGTTCTTTGTGGTCCAAATCTGAGATGTAGTTGTCGAAATGAAAATCCTTGAATTACGATCGCAAATTTCGGTTAATGAACGCGTGCTAGTTCTTTAATTGAAACTCTGAAATCTAATCAGCAATGTTACATCTTTTTGTTACAGAAAGCAAAACGTGGCTGGCCCTGATTTTCGATGTTGGTGAGTGAAAAAAAATTGGTTTTTTGAAAGGTGGTGGAATTTAAGATGGTCGATGTTTATTAGACTTTATTAGACTCGTTGAAATCGATGCGATTTATTCGTAGACTTTTATATATTGAATTTTTGCACTTATATACCAAGAGGAAAAAATGTTTATTATCTTTCCAAAATTATAGCATGTAATATTGTTATTATAAACGCTTGAGCAACATTTTCCACGATTTTTTCGTTAATTGAAATTCGAAGAACTACTACAAATATAAGTTCTTCGGAAACATTGCGGAACAGACTTCGCAAAAATATTGCGGAGCTATATTGGGAAACAATCTTCCTCAAATTGATTGCTTCGAGTCATTGCGGAGCCATCGTGCGTGACATCTCCATGCCAATTTTGATGATTTTGTATATTTACGATATGTTATAATTGGCGCGATCGGTTCTATGTAAGCCTAAATAATGAGTGTTCCGAAAATTGTGAGACATATATATTCTGCATATTTTTAATCATATAATTTCTAACGCGTGTCAACTTCGAAATGCTCAGCCAATAGAAATTTAAATCTGTAGGAAGCTCGTTCTAATCTATCTTTGAATTTAAGCATCCGAAAGTTCTCTTCTCCTTTACAAATATGAATCTGTGAGATAATTATTCTACGTAAGAATAGAGCTTAACTATATACACATCTAAAGATTTAACATAGTCCCTTTATCTACTTGTGTTTTCAATCAGTCTTGTTTCGATTTACGGCCAGATTTAGAAGGAACGTACACGCGAATAATTCACAAGTCGAATATAAGAACGTAGGAACATGTGTCGAAAGATATCACGTGCCCGTAATAGTTTCTGAATATACACCCTCCCGTTACACGCGCAGGACCCCACTGGTTCATTTGAATTACCGTCGCTCCCTTACTCGAATCGTGAACTATGCGAAACGTACTCTCGACGTTCGCCATCGATATATCGTGGCGTTTCTCTTTATTATGGAAATCTTTCGTAGAAAAAGCCCTCGGGACGAAAAAAGGCGAGGACGTGGATCGTTAATGAGGGCGAATATGTTCGCCCACGTTCGACGTATGAAATTTTCCCATGAGAGCACATCGCCGGGATATTAATTGTCGCGTCGTTGCGGGGGCGGCGTCTGGGATCTCCAATTTGTTTCGTTATTAAATCGTAGGCGGCGATCGAGATTTCATTAACTTATTGGATGTGTTTGTTATAATAAGAAGATGGGGAGAACCATGGGAAGTTACATAGTCCGAATATTTGAGGTTTGGTGAACAGTGTTGTTATTCGATATTAGTTATTTAATCGTCACATGTGAGATAAAATCGTTTCACCATTAAGAGAAGAGAATTTAATTCGTAAATATTACAAAGACAAAGTTAACTCATCAAAACTGGTAATAGACTAAGTCTATAGGATGGAAGGGGAGAGGAGGTCAATACATCTAACGATCTCTAAGTAAAATTTTCTTTACAATTATTACGCAGAATTTAGCTAATCGTCTTCCTCTCTAAAATTTCTTATTTCGACACCGGAAAGATGATCAAAATAGAGCTTTATCGGATCTGATAGGATCAATTATTCATTTTAGATTCCGCTCCGCGAATTCATTCGGTCGCGTTGAGGACTTCATTACCAGCCGAAATTCACCAGCCCGACTCTAATGAAGGCCCTGGCTACAATGGCGCAATATGCACCGCGACGCTTCCGTCCTTCGAAAACGCGGAAAACGTACAAAATTACCGCGCGATCGTTGCAATAGCGTGTCGAGAAAAAAGATGTAAAAAAAACGCGTTAGCTCTCAGAGGTCGAGACGAGCGTGTTGGCCGCAGGGTTGTAAGTTAACCCCGCTAACTGGTCGCGGAACACGAGCGTCCCCTGCGGGGGGCCTCACCGTCGGGGGTGTTCGTTATACTGCGAGCCCTTTGAGAGGGTCACGTGCCCGTGCGGCGGCCCCCTCAACCCGATATCGTATTTGTACAACACGTACGGCCATTATTGCAATACGCCTGTTTGTGTGTTTTGCGCAGTCTTTGTACGCCTCCACCCTCTACATGATCCGTTCTCTCTCCCTCGCTGCATCTTTCTGCCTCCCCGCGTTTTTCCCATCTCTTTCTTCCTCCCCTCTTTCGTCTCTGCCTCCCTTGCGAATTTTTTTTACCTTTTCTCCATAGTTTCCACCCCCCTCCTCTCTTTCCTTCTCCTGATATCATAGTATAAGTAACTGCTTATTGAATATCCTAACAAAGTAGATGCATGATTTGTTACTTCAAATAGCTGTCTTTATTAAAAATTAATATTCGTTTCTCCGTAAAAACGTTACGTGGCTGTCCTTTTTTATCTTTTTGGCCTTTGGTTTATTCTCTCTCTCATTTTTATTCTCTCTTTATCTCTTTCCTTTTCCTTCTCTCTCTCTATAATCTCTCCTCGTAGGGTTTTCGCGTACTTGTCGTTGAAGTTCTTATTGCGAGCGGCGGGTTATTATTGTTCCGTGAAACAATGAGCTCTCGCGATCAGCAGGAGGGTGGATCCAGCCTCCCTCGCTCCGACGGGTCACGTGGGAAACGTCCTGGCTTTTTTGACGGGCGTAACGCAGCTTTTTTGTCTCAAGCATCGTGGGACGCGAGAAGACGTCCGTCGCGCTTCAATTAGATTTAATCCCTTCGATGACACGGCTCTCTTGGCCGACAACTTCATCAATGCATCAATTTTATGTTACAATACTTTGTCCAACGTAATAGAGTGAAAGATGACTATCCATTGATAGAAATATTAC